CGTCCACCACTGCCTCCAGATGGTCAGAACACCCAGGGGCTTCTTTTCAGACATCCCAAACTCCGTGTACACTTTATTTCTCAAAGCCCTGCCGAACCTGTAGTCTGCTAGCGTTTGTTTTTTCTCCTGCCAATGTAATTTCTTTCCTCTTCCTTCTTCCCCTACCCAGGACTTTCCCCCTCCTCTCTCACAGGGCCATCAGGCCTTCTCCCACGATGTTTGACTCCTGTGTTTTGCTCAAATGCCTCCCTCATGTTCAACACTGGATCTGCCTGTTGGACATCAGCATGGACTGAGGACGGTACCTAACATGACTCAGGGGAAAAGACGCATCTTCTTCCTCAGACTTTCTGCTTCCCTGGGTCCTTAAACAGCAAAAGCATCTAAGCAGTGAAAGAATGTGCCAAGGTGGATCCTCCCCCTCTTTTTAAAAGTGTAGGTGTCCCCCCGCCTGCCTCTCTAAGTTATATGTTTAAAGACTCAGAGTCTTTTAGTCCTGGAAATTGTCTTCGATTTCTCTATACGTTCCCCTCTCCATTTCCTCTTTTCTCTCTTTGTGGAACTTCTACCATTCAGCAATTGAACTTTGTGGACTGGTCCCCAGGTTTTTTCTCATCATTTCTCTCTCCTCTTTTCCAATTTATTTTTTATTTTTTAAAAAATAATTTAGAGGGTTTCTTTTTAAGATTTTATTTATTTATTCCCAGAGAGGGAAGGGAGGGAGAAACAGAGAGAGAAACATCAATGTGCAGTTGCTGGGGGTCATGGCCTGCATCCCAGGCATGTGCCCTGACTGGGAATGGGACCTGCGACACTTCGGTTCACAGCCCACACTCAATCCACTGAGCTACTCCAGCCAGGGCTTCTCTTTTCCAATTTCTTTGTCCTGTTGCTACACTGTCTAGATTTCTTTAACTTAATTTTACTACCTTTCTATTGACTTTCCATTTCCATACCATATTGTCCGTTAATGAGGTTTCTTTTTCCCGCTGAATGTCCTTTTGCACATCCTTTGTGACCAATGCTCTCTGAATGTATTAACAGATTAACTTCCTCCTTGCTTAATCTGTCTCACATTAGAGATTTTCCCCAAATGCCCGATGATCCCTGGCTGCTCACTCCTGTGTAAGAGTCGGACACGTAAACGCCAGTTGGAAGAGCTGCACACATGGGCGAGTGAGTGCTGCCATTCTGGATTTCAGGGCATGGAGGTTGGGCCGAGTGATTTCTTAGGAAACCTCACTGTATCTTGAGATCTTCTGGGTTAGTCAGAGTCTCCAAAAGTCTCTTCTGGTTTCCTGAGGGAAGACTAGAGATGCTGGCAGTTTTCAACACTCAGTGCAGTAAATGTCAAATCAACTTGTTAGGTGTGCCATGCCTGCCTATCCTTGACTGTGCCTGGTGTTCCCTTTTCCAAATTCCCACTAAGGACTTGGCATTCTGGGGCTGCTCAGTCGGACTTCGTGTCTCATTGCTCTTGATTTTGGCCCCTTTACGCATCTTGGTGAGTTTCTGGAGGGAGAGCACCTGGTGCAGGCACTCAGCCCGAAGGCCTTGGTGCCCTCGTCCGTTCCCAGCGCCCTGCCCCCAGTGGGACCTCTGTGGGACTCTCTGCAATCTCTCTACTGGCCTGCCCAGCCACCCTACTTGTGTATTCCCATTGAAGTCACTGCCTTCAAACACCAAACCAGTCATTTATTAAAAAACCTCCTCAGCTTCTCACTGCCTACAAGACAGTCAAAACTCCTTAGCACCACGCCCAAGGTCTTGGGTGACCAGCCCGCCAGGTTATCTTTCCAGCATGACCTCTCACCATACTACCTGCCACCCAGATCCAAAGCTGCAATAATTTCAGTTTTAATAGTGCATCACCCTCTGTCTCCAAGACAATCAATTATGGAGAGGAGGTTGGAACCTGACTGCTCGAATCCATCACCCGGTCTCCGCCACGTTGCCAGCTGGGTGATGTTGGGCAAGCCACTTAATCTCCTTATCTGTAAACCCGGGACTCGAAGACTCCCCGCCCTGCAACATTATCGTGAGGATCATCAGCGCACTCAGAACAATGGCTGGCACGTAGGAAGTGCCATGTGAGTGTTAAAGATTGTAAGTCTCTGCACACCAGCCTGCCTCAGAAAGTTATCAGATCCTTGGAGAGGGAACTCCTCCTGTGCTCAGCATATGTCCCGTGCTTAAAATGGGACAACAGGACGCTATTTACTGGGGACAATGTGAAAAAGAGCTTGGCCAATGGAGACTATTGCCTGATGGTTCAACTCTACTGTGGCAAAGGCTACAGTCCAGTGAAGAGAGCACAGAGAGTGAGATTGAATGGTTCGACACCGATGGGGAGGGCCTCACAGGTCCAACATGGAAGATGGGGCTTGATGAATGGCTGTGCAAGGAGAGCGAGGTGGTGCTGCAGAAACAGTGGGTGGGGGAGAGCCACAGGCTGGAGAAGCAGGTCGGGGCCGGTTGCACAAGGCCCCGCAGAACCTGTTTGCCCCGGTGGCTTGTTTCCAGCTGTGTTTGTCGGTTTCACCATCCTCGCACGCGGGCAGTGCCAGAGACGGTGTGGGGAAGCTGCATAGCTGAGATGCAGCTACTTGACAATTATTTGGGAGGTAAATGAGAACACGCTCCCAAATGACGTGGAAGAAGCCAGGCACAAAAGAACACGTACTCTAGGATTCCATTTATATGGAAGACCAAAGCAGGTGAGATTGATCTATGTGGTTTTAATTCAGGATGGAGTTATGGGCGGACGGTGGACTAGAAAAGGGAGACTTCTGGGATATAAGTAACATTTCTTGCTCTGGGTCCTGGCTCTACAGGTATGCTGTCTGTAAAAAATCATCAAGTTGGGAAGTTATATATACGCTTAAGTTGTGAGCTTTACCTGCTATAGTTTAAAACAATGCAGCAGATTCATTACACGGTGCTCATTTAGACGCACATACGCTGTAATGCGGAGAAGGGGTGAGGTTACCGACAGGGCAGGTATCCCTGGTTTTGTGTTCCTGTAGGGACCAACTCAGAACAGCTCTTGGGTCCCCTCAATGGCTGAGGGTAGCGACAGCATGGCCAGCACCAGCCACCTTCACCCACAGCGGGGCTTCGTGAGCGTGTGACAAACTGACTCACACCCAAGGGCAGGGTATGTATGTGGAGGCTCTGCGACACCAACACTCAGCATCGGTGTCAGATCGCCTCCTTCTCATTTTAGATATAACGAGGGGCTGATGGCTCCTTATTAACCTCGTAGAGGAACACACGTCAAAAACATCTGTGCATGCGTGACTTAATGCATTCAACATTGCTGTACCCTTGGAAACATAAAGAATGAGGTTGGTTGTGGTATTTTTTTTTTCCTAAAAAGCTATGTTCACTAAAAAAGTGCACATACACAGTTAAAAACAAATAAAAGAATAAAAATGATATATGAGAAGTCAAATCTTCTCCTTCCCATCTGTTTCCCAAGCAACCACTATTACAACTTTCTTATTGATTCTTATGTTTTATAAGCCACAAAAGCACATATAAGTCTGTGTATTACTCCTGCCCCACCTTTTCTTAAACAAGTGACAGCCAGTATACTCATATTTCGCCCTATGTTTTATATCTGTCAACACAGGTGCAGCTCAGTCTTCATGTAAGTATTCTGCTGAGTATGTGTTATGACTTATTAACTTATTTCTAGTCTTTTGCTTCTACAAACAATATGCCATTGACCAGACTTGAATATACACTGTTTGACATTCTTTTTAATTTATGTAGAAATTGCCCCAACATATACCCCAACTCTGTTATCAAACTTTTTGACCTCTGCATTTCTAATTGTTTGACATTAGTATCTCATTGTTATTTTATTTTTTTAAAGGTTTTATTTATTTATTTTTACAGAGGGGAATGGAAGGAGAAAGAGAGGGAGAGAAACATCAATGTGTGGTTGCCTCTCATGCACCCCCTACTGGGGACCTGGCCCGCAACCCAGCCCCGTGCCCTGACTGGGAATCAAACCTGCTCCCCTTTGGTTCACAGTACAGCACTCAATTCACTGAGCCACACCAGCCAGGGCTCACTGTTATTTCAATCATCAATCCTCTGATCTTTCATTTGTGCCTGAATGAATACTGACCTGTTTTGACTACCAGTCTTTAAGTCTAGTAGGCTGTCTTCCTTATATTCCTCTACAAAAGGATGATTTAAAAAAAAAATTAAGGATGTTTCAGATTTCTAAATAGCAAAATGACCTAGGGTTTAACAATTTTTTAAAAAATTGTTACAGTCCCTGTTCATAGACCATCCACACACATATACATAGAGCTAATTACTGCTTTTAAAAAAATTGCTAAGATTTACAATTTTTACATAACACAGCCTGGAGGAAATGATGACTGTACTGGGTTAGTGTCCCCCCGAATTCATGTCCACCCCAAACCTGTAAGTGCAGCCTCATTTGGAAATGGGTAACTTGTGGATGTAATTCGAATTAAGATGAGGCCACGCTGGATGACAGCGGGCCCTGATCCAATGCCCGGTGACCTTGTACGAGGGACACTGAACACAGACAGACACCCAGGGAAAACGAGCATCAGGGACAATGGAGGAAGAGATGTGACTGACACGGGTACCAGTCAAGGGACACTCAGGACTGCCAGCAGCTATTGAAGAGGTGAGGGAGGATTCTTCCCTGGGGTCTTGAGATAAAGCATGGTCATGCCATGCCTTGACGTTGGACTTGTAGCCTTCAGAACTATGAGATCATCAATTCTATCAGGTCTCCAATTTGCAATAATTTGTTATACAGCCCTAGCAAATGGATACAAGAACCCTTTCAAGTGGTGTAAAACTGTATTAAGTGATCATTTTTAAGTCACTAGGCTGCTTCCAACAGGCAAAAAGAAAGACTGACTTTAGAAAACCTTTTTTTTTTCAGGTTTTCTTTTTAACTATTATCCCACCAAGGCAAAACAGTTACGGGAAATGGAATGCCACTGTTTTACAAAGCGTTCATACTTTTATTACATTTTGCCTCAATCTGTTTCAACAACTTCAAAAGCGCTGTTGGGTTATACGGGAAAAGATTTTTCTTCTGCAAACGGTAAATGGCACCTTGTAGCTGTTCAAAGCATTTTACTGTTCTGTAAGATATTCCTGCTTCATGGACAGTGTTATCTGGGGCTGTGTCACCAGCAACAGAGAAAGGAGTATTAGATTCTTTCAGAAACACAGGCCTTGACGGAAGCTCCAGACTAAGTTCTTCTTCATCCCCGCTTGTTCCGACTATGTCCTGAGTTTTCTTCACTGCTTCCTGGTGTAAAGATGTCTGTCTACTATTTGCTAAACACGGGTCTGTGGATTCTACTTCAGAATCATCAGAGCTGTCATAATCTACCAAGCTCTGAGAAGCTTGGGGGGGGGACAGGCGACTAGCCTGGGGTGTGGCATGGGTCTCCGGGGATATGACGACCTGGTTCTGTGGTTCGGAAGCAGCACCAGCAGCCCAGGAGTCACCGGCAGGAGCATTCCTGTGACCGCCAAGAGCCGCCAAAAGGCTGATTTCTGTTTGGCTGCTGCTTCGGTCTTGGCCAAGTGAGGAGATACAACCGCAAATATTAGTGTTCTCGTTAGAGTCCATTATATCAAAGTCCTTGCAAATGGTGAGAAATGTATCCCAGTCTTTGAGCAGTAATTTTAAATATCTGACAAAATATTCAAGAAAGCAAGTTTCTGATGAAATCAAAAAGTCCAGAAGAACGGTAGAATCAAATGCTATATTTTTTAAAAAGAACAGAAAAATACAGTGTGGGTTATAGCCGTTTTCGTGTGTGTGGTGGTGCCACAGTTCTTTTTCTTGGGTCAAACTTTCAGCAGCTTCATATTCTCTGAAAATAAAGATACGGGAGACCCCAGATTAATGACTTTTTACAAAAATAAGTTTAGGCAGATATAAAATTCACCTATAATAAAGTGACCTACCAGATTACTTTTTTAATCTTCGTGTTATTTTAAAAGAAAAACAAATTCAAGCCCATCTCTTTCTCCACAAACTCTCTATATAAATCTGACTCAATAAAATAAACAAAATCACTGACTTCGGTAGTTCTAGTTTATGTGCCTAATGTAAGTACTCTGTCTCCCGCCCTTTGACCCCAGATGTCTCCATTCCTACAGATTACCACTGATCCCGTGTGGTAAGGAGGGTAAGGTGGAGCTGCACCCCAACTTCCTTCTGTTCCTTCCACACTCCTGATGGGGGGTGGGCATGTGACCCAGATGACCAATCAGAGTACCCCATGCTCCTGGCCACCATGATTGGTTCTGATATGAACCTATGACCCACACAGCCAATCAGATGTCCCCTGGGACTGCTGCTAGTGGCCCTGCCTGAGGATGAATCCAGAGCTGTGAGACAGAGAGAAAGAGACATAATCAATGGCATCAGTTGAAGTCCAGTATACACAGTTATGCCTGATGCCAACTTGGCCCTTTAGAATTCCCAATTAAGGGCCTATAAATTCTAATTTTTGCATAGAATAGCCAATAAATTCCAATTTTGGTGTTGGTTTCTATCATTTACAGCCAAACAATCCTAACTAATACAATTACCTTAAAAAATACATATGGCACACACACATGCCTCTTTGGACACAATGAACCGAGGTTAACAGAGTTAGAAATTCACATACAAAGTGAATTTAATTCAGAGGCTTCCCCCTTCCCGAGTGGCAAGCAGCCGGCTTTGAGCACAGCGAAGATTATTCTGAAAGGCATGTGCGTTCAGACGAAATGTGTGTTTGACTGTTTCTGAGCCTAATTCAAATCACATGCAGGAATTCTGTGTTCTTGATTAGACCCTTACAGAAACTGGCCCCAAACACTCCGAGTCTGAAGGTAGCCAGGGCCGGCAGGGTCAAAACACCAGTAAGGGCTGGCAGCGTGGGACTGCACCGCCGATCATTAGGGAGACGGCCCTTCCTCTGGGGCCAAGAAAGAAATGGGAATAGAGCAAGGACGTCAGGGCTGGAGTAAAGCAGGAGCAGAAATCGTGTACAAGGTCATCAGTTATTAACTTCACAACCAACTACAGGTTATTTGCCACGAGAAGATAGGACCCCAAGCACAGCTGTTTTAATAAACAGAAACAGGATCAGTATAAAATGCCATCAGTGACATAACTTCATAATCGATTTCAGAGATTTGCCTCAAGACGTTATCTGCTCCAGTTCAACTCTACACTCAGATGAAGACTCCGAACAGCTTCTTTGATGACTAACTGGTTTGGACTTGTCTTTACAAAGGCAAAAGTCACCTTGTAGGAGCTCAGTGTGGAGGAGATAGTCTGAGAGGTAAACACAGTCCTCAAACATCAGTTAGAGGAAGATCAGTTGCTCTGTACTGCATGGGCGGCACAGTGGTGAGGCCACGCCAGAGCCCGTGTTCTCTGATCCCAGTCTGGTTCTGCCTGGCCCACCAAGTTTTCAATGAGTGCTCAGGAGCAATCTCGTTTTCATGCGGGGCTGAGTTAAAAGAAAGGAACTGGAACTTATAAGGAAACCACAAGCTTGTTAGGGAATTTTTTTTCCCCTTCTAATGATGGAAAGTAAATAGTAGGTCCAGCAACGGTATTAAAAATGTTGTCTGCTTTCCTGGCACGCAGTTAGTAAAATCACTTTAAAACATACCGACCTGCTCAGTTTTAGGAAGATGCCCATGGACGCTTTGGCAGCCTCCAGCATGTCATCATCTTGTTCTATGAAGACCCGGGACAGCCACTCGCACGGATGCTGTGACCGCACAGAGGGCTCAAGGTGGGGCTTTAAGAAGGCCAGCAACTCCGACATGAACCTCTGTAAATCAACTTCAAAAAATAACAATTTCAAAGCATAGGCAACAGTTTATGAGTACATTCATATTTTGCCTACCTATCTTATACATAATGATAGTTATTAGCTCTGGCTGGTGTGGCTCAGTGGATTGCATGCCAGCCTGTGAAGCAAATGGTTGCCGGTTCGATTCCCAGTCAGGGCACATGCCTGGGTTGCAGGCCAGATCCCCAGTAGGGGGAGTGTGAGAGGCAACCGCACATTGATGTTTCTCTCTTCCTCTTTCTCCCTCCCTTCCCCTTCTCTTAAAATAAATAAATACAATCTTTAAAAAATGCATTATTATAATTCACACTTCCAAATGTCTCCAAGTTAGGGATTATCTCAATTTGCAAATTAGGAAACAGCTTCAGAGAAAAAAAGTGACTCACTCGATAGAATACTGTTAAAATGTACAGGCAGATTGTCTATTTGCTACAATTGCCAAATAACCAGTCATCTTTGAGAAATAAAAGCTACATGAATTCTTGCCAAAAGCATGTAAATGAATGAGCGGCAGACAACAGAGTGAGCAGTAGACAACAGCTGTCTGTTACTAGTGGCAACAATGCAACAAAACGAAAATAATTTTGCTTTAAAAGTAACAAAAATTTTTTGTTTGTTTAAAGCATTTAAAGACAGTACTACTATCAGGCACAAAAAGCAAAGAAGTTTTGGGGAGTTTCGACTGCAATTTAGAACTCTGAATTATATAACACACGCCACCTAGTGTTGTGAATTATAACTGCACAGAATCATATCCAATAAATAGTACCAGCAAAATGTTGTCCAAAGCAATTCAGGGAAGCAACTGCTTACAAGTCAAACCTGTCACTAAAACCATGTGCTGCCTGTTTAGAGATGCTTACTCTTCATTTTTCTCGAATGAAAAGGAGGAAAACGAAGACAGCCAAACACCTCAATTGAATATCATACTTTAAATGGTGGTCCCTGGACTCTGAGGTGAAAATTATATGCAACAATTTCTCCATCAACATAACTTTCTACACATTAGTAGATATATCAATTTTATGAAGAAAAATTTGAAAATACTACAGATATCCACATATGAGTGGACTCATGTCACTAACTTTGCAGTGACTTAATAACACCTCCCTTTTTTTAACCCTAGTCATTAATTATGCTATGCAAATCAGCTTAGCCCCCCTCAAAAGCAGGCGTTTCTTAAGGTAATTCTAATTTTCTTTTGTTTTGTTTTGTTTTTTAGGAAAATCTGATAAATTATTACTTGGATTTCATATACAATAGCTTAAATTAGTAGAAGTATAGTTCTTAGATTTGATAATTATGAATAATTTTATTTTAGTAATTACCCATTATTTTGCATGCTAAAGGAGTTAGGAGAATTACCTTTCATTTCCTTTGCTGAAGCACAGTTTTGAAACTTGATGTCTAAGGATTTAATAAGCAGCAAGCTGGCTGCTCTCAGGATCACGTGATCTGGACCAGGGAGACACTCACAGCCAGGCTGAACTTCACCACCACCAAAGCAGGAAGGTTTCCCACGGACAGACAAAGTCTTCAGTAAACCCGAACCCACAGCTTGCAGAACAGCATCAGCTAGGGCCAGCATGTCCCCATCTAAATGCTCATCTGGTGGCATGAAGGCAGCGACAGGTCCCCGACAAAGGTCTTCGCCCACTTTCCAGAGAAGGCACTTTTTAATGAAAATGATGAACTTTCTTTTGACGAAGGCCTGGATCGGCCAGGTAATAACGTGCAGTACACAGGAAGGTTTCAAAAAGAAAATCCTCTGGCAGGGGAAATGCAACCCCAGGTGGATCCTGGAAGCTATAAGAAGTTCAAGCAATTCCAGAAAATATATCAAGCTGTTCACTATTTTAGAAGTGTCTTGGAGGTTTGCCAAATGCTGAGAAAATAAGGAATTGTAAAAGACTTCAAAAGTCGAATCCAAAGGAGTCAGGAACTGCTTTAGAATTTCTGCAATTAAGAAAGAGTAATTATGAACAAGAGGAAAAACACAGCCTTCTTAAAAACACACTTTTACTATTCAATTTTTATCAATGGTATCGCTTTACAAGACGAAAAAGTATAGCATTGTTTACCTCCAATGTGAACAAATGAAGATACACTAACAGCTAACAGCCACAGTTCATATCCACTTTACAAATAACCATAGCATCTGATTATGCTCGGGATATATAATAATGGAAAGCTTTAAATTTGTTTTCCTTTAAAAAGGTATCCTTGATCAAAAAAAGGGGGTGAGATTCTTTAGTTTTTCATACTTCAGGACAGATCACATGTGGTAAAGTAAGTTTTACTCTTTGTTCTAAGTACAAATTCTCCTTGGGAGCCAGATAATGACGATTGCTTACGGGGAATACAATACCTGTTTTTCGTGAATGTGTGTCTTTGAAGATTTCTTTTATCACAGCAGTAAGAGTGTAGAGGCAGTACACTACTTCCTCATTTTCAGAGTATTCAGAAAGATTTCTTTGGCAAAAAGCAATCCAGGAATTACTTAACGTTATCTACAAGTGAGCACATTTTAAAAAGTGGTAAATTATAATATTTTCTTTATGATTACAAATCACCTATTTTACACATTACAACTCTGCACAGCTCTGTTTTTCTTTTAAAGTATATTTGTTAAAACAAGGACACAGATATCTCAATATTCTTTAAGTCAAAATTCAGTATGTCATAGAAATAAAGGACCAAAAGGGAACAAGAAAATATCAGCAGTGGTTATCTCTAGGTGGTGAAATGTGCAATTTTTATTTTGCTCTTTATATTTTTCTCATTTTCCAAATTTTCTGCCGCACATACCACATTTTTTGGCATTCAGAAAATAATGTTATTTTCAGAAAGGAACAAGCATTTGTAGCTGAAAGTCAGTAGAAGCTTAGATTAACTAATTCAGAAGGAAGAGAAAAATGTGATGTTCAATTTAGTAATTTTTTTCATTATGCTGAGGACCATTCTTAGAATTTATTTATAGTAACCTGTAGAAATGGTCTTGGTCTCAGGCACCGGTTCCTAACCATCCATCCATCCATTCATTCATTCATTTAAGCCTACCTACTCCTTTGAGAATCTGAGGTTACAGACCCTCTGACCTGAAACCACCCCCGACCTCGGGTTAAGAGTCTGATTTATAATGAGTTACAACATATTTAAGACTCTAATCCTCGATACAAGTCACCATCATATTATTGCATTCTTATACTTTTGTGGATTTACAGGCTACTATGTTAGCAAATGTGTCATTGATTCAAATATTTGAAGGGTAAAACTGGATGCCAAAGAGTAATTTTAAAGAAACTAGAAGTGGCACAATAACGTAGTTTGATTACTGACCTTTTCTTTCAATCGGAAATACAGAAGCAACGCAAGGCACTTCGCAGCCATGTGAGATAACAGTTTATCGGAGCTTTGGAACATACAGGTCTACAGGAAAACAAAATAAATTTACCCACTACTGATCCTGGTTTTCAAACTATTATTTTAAAAATGCAGATCCGAAAAAATATTTAACCTATAAAAAGCAAATGGCTTACTAATTTAGAATCAAAGTCAGAGGACTGTAAGAGAATTTTCACGATCTCTCTGTATCTCTGTTTGGCATGGAATGCGGTCTCGACAGACAGTATCCTGGTCACCATCACCTGGACCACAGTTAGCTGAAGGAGTGCTGTTTCGTGGGCCCTGCTCTTCAAACCCATGGGGGCTGTGGAGGTGGGACTCAAAGTGGCGGGGGACTGCTGGCACTCGCCCCGGACGCCAGGGCTGTCTGCGCATGCGGAGGAGCTGGCTGTGGAGCCATCTTGGTCTGGCCACGCGGGGTTGAGATAACAGACGTAGCCCTGGGTGTCATGTTCAAGGGCGGCTCCATGTAGTACCTTCTTGTATAATTGTTCTAGAGCTCCCAAGAAATCTTCCATTTTGATAGCCAAAATATATCTTCTAGGAAGTTTGACAATTCCAAATGGTAACTTACGGAACTTAGAAATGTGACGAATCTGTAAGGTGTGTCTCTTCGGTGAAACCTAAAATAGGAACAGTAATTTTAAAATTATAAGTGTTACATACACCATAGTATAAGGGAAAGGTATCTGTTTCCACTGAGTCATTTAGTCTCTTGAATTAAAGGTCACGCTGGTTGCTTGATTTCTAAAATGGAGTGTTGGTAAAAAGAACATTGTTTGAAGTCCATAAAAACAAAAATGTATGTTTTCCAAACAGATTTAAGGCCATAAAAATTATCTCTAATTTTATCACAGCGTTCCTCTAACCATCTTCAAAGGGCTAACACGGTTTCTCACGCTTGCTGCTGGTAGCATTGCTGGAGAAGCGCCCCTGTGCATTGTGGGAAGTGGAGCAGCATCCCTGGCCCTCACCCACTAACACTAGCGCTCCCTGGGGAGGTGAAATCCTCCAGGTTGGAAACCACCTAGCAAACTCCAATTCATGAACCTCCTCCACCTTCCACTAACTTATACATGAAGACCTAAAGTTAGGAAGCTATGTGCTTATCGCTGATTAATTTCCAGCTTCAAGTTACATAATACAAAGAGATCTTGGTCATCACTTCAACCATTACATAAAAGTTACAAAACTGCCATCCCAGGAGAGACACAAGATGTTAAGACAAAGCAATCCAAACGTGAGTAAACTGTCTTTTGTAACCAGATGCAAATGTGGACATCTCGTTGTCCCAGAACCATTTAGGGCATAGGTGGCAAACACAAGGCCTGCGGGCTGAATCTGGCCTTCCATCTGGTTTTATTGGGCCTGGCACCTTGTTCAGTGCCGGACTCCTTGCCCCTAGCTAAGGAGTAGTTACATTTCCACAGTCCTAAAATTCCATTCGGCCCTTTGAAGGCAACCACAACGCTGATGTGGCCCCCGGTGACAATGAGTTTGACACCCCTGGTGTAGGGTCAGAGATGACTTCCAAAGAGGAGAGAACGGCAATCAGTTACAGATGATTATCAGAGGGAGTGCAGTTACTATAGAGTAAGCAGGGCAAGGAAAACTTGAAGACTCTGGCACAAGCAGAAGTTAGCAAATATCCTTTCAATGAAAGGCCCGAGCCTCTGGGAATTATCTGGTCCCAAGAGGCTAAGTTCTGCCCGCCCCTAGCAGCTACTTTACACCTCGGTAAATTACAGCCAATAGCAATGCAAATGATCTCGTCTATACACATGCAAATGTACGGCTAGTGCAGAGGCCAACGTCCCTGCAGCGGGAAAAGCCAGCTTCGCTTGTGTTTATAAACACATCTCAACCTTCAGTTCCTCCGGGTACAGTTGTGGTTCTTTAACTGTAGAAATGGTCGTGCCATCTACCTGGTTCTTTCACGAATTCATGATTTAAATAAGATGATGGACACCCATTCCTTTTATGTGGGTCATGATGATGATGTCCTCATTTATCCTTGAACAAAATCCACAGTTTCCTGGCTCATTTGTGAATGCCCTATCCACGCTGAACCTCCTTCCTCACAAGAAGAGACCTCTTAGAGGGCTCCCCCCAACCCTATTTATACTGGGTCCCACCCACGCCATAAGGCCCACAGACCTGCCCTCGGTCTGCAAACCTCCCTCTCCACTGGTTTCTGCCCCGTGCTTTTTAGCTTCCAAGGAGTTTCAGTTCCTGATCACCCCCAGAAGACAGAGCTGCCCTATTTTAGTCCTCTGGTGCAGAAATAAATATTAAGAAGCCTATAGAGTTGTACATAAAGTTACGAACAACATTTTTGTTACGTTTCCTCTGATTCCTATTTTCAAACTGCAGAGTGCATGCCCTGTGATTTACAACATAACTAAGCATCAGCAACCCTGTTCCCTTGAACAGTGAGAAACTTGACCTGAGCCCTGCAGTTCCAGAAATCAGAAATGGACAAGCACAGGTGTTCCAAGACAGGGCTGCCCAGGAATGGCCACACTCCCGATAGGACTCATGGCCACCCTTCCTCACTGAGGATACCCTTGTTTCATAAAACTGGTCATTTTTCCTCCTTTGAGAGGTTTCCCAGTAATGAGCATTTTCCTGTTGCAACAGCCTAGATACAATCATCTCTTTAATTGTCTTGTTTATTTTGTCAGCCACCCGTCGGAAATTAGTTTTCATATTCCACTTCAAAGCCTATCTCCATTGTACCCATTTCTTCCCAATAAACTACTGATATTTTTATGTCAAATACTCTATGACAACAGACTATTTTAGGTTATAACTCATAACACATTCTGAACTTATCATCATTTCCGCCACAAATGGAATTATTTTTATTTCAATGCTATAGCAGTAAAATCATTCTAAGAATATATAAATCTAAGGTCCTTAAGTTTCACCCTAAAGGAGAATAAAATTGCTGTTATTTAAACACTTTCCACCTACAAAAAGGGCCATGTCAAATGATTCCATTTCAGCACACACACAAAAAAGCGAATGCCAATAAACAAACAAAGGTATTTGGCAGGGGTGGGTGGGGGTGGGGGTGGGAATGAGCTGTTTCCCATCACGGCCTTTGCCAAGGATGGTTGGGAGAAATCAGACTGAAAAGTTAGAAACTTTCAATTAAGATACAGATTCAAAATGACCCTTTACAGGCAGAGGAAAACAACCAAGCCTCCACTAGGGGTCACAATGCCAGGCAGGTAACAGACGAATGAAGAAAATAGGGGCTACGCTGCTTCTGTTGTGACTCAGCATAAACCTCCTAATTACAGTCTTTTAAAACATTAATGCTGGCCAGAGCAACCCGCATTAAAATAAATGTCTGTGGGCAGCCCACTGAGCATTGAGAACTGCAGTTGTTGTTTTTTTTTTTAGTCTTTGTTGTTTTTTGCAAAAACAACAACCAATTATAGCATCAAAAGAAAGGGCACATTTTGAGAAAACTAGGGAATTTAAACCACACTTTTTTTTTTTCCCCCTGAAGTGGCGGCTCCACGGTTGGTGGCCTCAAGCTGCATTGCCATCTTGACCTGGAGGAAGGTGACCCCTCAGGCACCCGGTTTTTCAGAGACTCTAACAAGGCAAAGGTGTCTGGGGAAGGGTGCTCAGCAAGCTGGGGAGCTATGAAGCCAGCCAGAGTGATAAATGAGAGAGAGAGAGAGAGAGAGAGAGAGAGAGAGAGAGCGAGCTGTGGGGCCCAGAAAGGAAACAAGTATTAGGAGCGGCCTCATTAGGGCAAGTGAGTGCTTCTCCGAGTTTTCTCAGAAAATTCCTCTTGGCAGAAGACAGCAAACTTCCACGCCAGGGGCCAGGGGGTTACCCCTTACAAGCATGGAATCTGAAGTCTCTCGTGCACTGTTTAAACACTGGAAACTATTTTAAGTTTACATTCTATTACTGAAGAACCCTGTGTGTCTTGACATAAAAAGAATGGATTTCCCAACCACCTTCACATACAGTTGATTTAGGAATCGTAATTCCTAATTTCATCATGTGCCTATCATACGTATGAGACGCTATTCTAAGTGATTAACTGCTTCACCACCACCACGTGAGGTGGATACTTCCTTATCAGGCCCATGTCACAGATGAGGAAAGTAAGGCACCCAGAGATCCGGTTATGGAGCTAGTTCAGTGGCAGAGTCGGGATTTGAACCCAGAAAGTCGAATTTCAGAGCCTGTAGCTTCCTAAGTCTATATCGCTCCATTGACGAGGATGCTGAGATTCTCCAAGCAGAGAGAGGTTGGGGTGCTCTAAACAGGGCTGTCTTCTAGGATTCTGATCCCCTGCCTGGTTAGGACTCAACGGGACGTTTAGGGAGGTGGGCGAGGCCTGGATATCGGGCCGAGGTTAGGGGAGGCTGATGCGGGTGGTTAAGCCCCTAAACGGAAAGGACAGAGGTTCCCAACGTCCCTATCACTTGGGCCATCAAAGCTGATGAGCTTTGATTTCAAAAGCGCCTCCCTCCCCTATAGAAAGGAGGGGGGAAGAGATACCTTCCAAAGAGCCTGCCTCATGCTGGGTTCCTTCCCTTTGCCCTGCTAGTTAGACTCTTCGCCTTTCTCCCAGCCCGGACAGGCTCCAGCAGGAACTGCGGGGAGGGGAGGGGATGGGATGCGGGGGAGGTAGCTCTTTCAGGTTTCAGGAACTCCGCCTTCTATTTACCTCCGGGCCTAACGCAGGTAGGGGCAGTTACAAGCCCCAGGAGTACACCAGCATCCCCCCCCTTTTCCTTAAAACAATGGTGCTCACGTTTCAGCTGCCCCAGAACCACCCGGAACTCTGCAGGGCCATACGTACCCCAGGGATTTCAGATGCGGTAGTTCTGGGACCGGGCCCAATAATTTTTACTTCTATTGTAACTAGTTTCCAGGTTACTTGCTGAAGCACTGACGATATTTGAACCCACCACGTGCCGGTAAACCATCTTTTTATTAAAAACTCTTACCCGTAGAACTCAGATACAGGTCAGGATTTTATCCTATTTAGCATGAAGGGAAAGCCTGATAATTAAGTCATAGACAAAAGGCTTAAAAGATATGATGAAGGCCAGCGGGTAAGTGTTTTTCTGGTCTATACGTAAGAGCCTGAGATCTGGGATTGAGTCAAGTGGCTTCACCACATAATCCTCCAAGCCTCAGTCTCCTTCTGCGTTCAGGGGGCATATTGACAGCACCCAGGTCACAGGGTACTGGCAGGGTTCAATTACAGGTGACTGTCCCTGTAATAAGCCCCAGTGAACATCTGCCCGTATCTCTAATGCCACAGCTGGCTCTGTTAAGCGTGTCAGCGCGTGACGGGAGGGCCCCACGGCCCGCCAGCTCTGCACACCTCTTTCCCTTCCCCTGCACTTCTGTTTACGATGTAAGGCTGCCTCTCCTCTTTTATGTTTATTTTACTTTTTTTTTCTTTATAAGGCTGCTTCTAAAAAATAAATGAACGTGGCTTGATTTTGAGGAAAAAAAACAAACTATACTCCTCCCCCATTTTTAAGGGGGCAACAACTTGAGATAGGCACAAATATAAAACACTGCTTACCAGATTCTTCTTGCTTTCTATTGAGCTATAACTGGCTTACACAATTATATTAGTTTCAGGTGTTCAAATACATATAAATATAAACGGCCACCACAGTAACTCTAGTAACGTCCACCAACATACACAGTTCCAAAAAGAATTACTTTTTGTGATGAGAGCTTTTAAGGTCTGTGCTCTCCGAAACTTTCAAATATGCATAGTGACAATACTAACCATAGTCGCCATGTTGTACATTACCTCCCTGGGACTTAATGAAGTTTGTACCTTTTTCCACCTTCACCCATTTGCTCCCACTCCTCCGGGCCCCAACTCTGACAAACACCAACCTATTCTGCATCTACGAGCTTGGCGGGTTTCTGTTTGTTTCTTTACTCATTCATTCATCCATGGATGGGCACTGAGGTTGTTTCTGTAGCTTGGCTATTGGAAATAATACCGCGATGCCGGATTCTTGGTAAGAAATGTAGTAAGCACCTGCTAACAGGTGTGGGGCCTCCGGGTGGGAGCAGGGGAGAGGGCGCAGTCTCGGAGATGGGACGCAGGGCAAAAGCAAGAGGTCACACTCATCTGAACTTGACAGCTCCTCTGGGGCCATCCTGGTTCACCTGCTGGATAAACTCATGAAGAGCCTGTATTGGTTTTGGACAAGTAATGAAGTAGTCTTGCTCTCAGAAGCCTGGATGGAGTAACAGAGGGATGGCAGCATGTAATATAAACTTGATCACCAGAAAATAACCCCATGGAACTTTTCCAGACCGTGCTGTTAAACTGACTATTCCCAGGGCAAACTTTTTTGCATAGTGCAAATGAGGAACTTTCCAATCAGAGCACTTTGGTTCCAGAAAACAAGTCTCAGAGATGATCTAGACCAGTGGGTCCAGCTCTAGCTTCCAAATCCTCTGGGAGGCTCGTTGGAACACAAGAGCTGGGACTCGGCAGTTCTGATTCTGTGGGTGCGAAGAGTGCCCAAGAACGAACAGGACCAGAGACTCTACTTCGATAAGCACTGACCAACCTACCCAATTAGACTGGTAAGGAATCTGAGAGCATTAGGTTTGTATTCCGTCACGATAATGCCATGCAGTTTTTTTGCTTTTCTGTTTTTTTGGGGTTTTTTTTGAAAAATGGAAAACCTCTAGTGTATCAATACTAAAAACAAGACGTTTCTACCCTTAGTTGCTAAATTATGGTTCTACCTTTTAAGGGATGCTTCAGAATGAAGTGTTTCTTCACTCATTCCCCTTTCCCAATCTATGCCCCTTTCCCTCCTCCTCCTGCCCCACCCCCCAAGAAAACCCAACCCCGGTGGCAGGACCCTCCATCAATGTGACAAATGGGACTACCTACATCACACTCAGAATTCCTGAATTCTGAATGCTGTACAGACAAATGAGATTCGATTTTCACTGGAGAAAATAAGGTTACCTGTCCCATCTCGGCAAAGCAGTACACGCTCAAAGGTTTTAGAAAGCCCAAGGCTTTTATGGTGAAAACACCTATACAATCCAGTGAGAGGATGCCAATACTGCTTCATTTCGTCCCTTGAAAGGTGCCTTTCTGGCTCTGGGTCTTGATATAATGCCGTTCCCTCTGCCTAGAAAGCTCTGCCACTTTTCCTCCTGTTTCACGCTTGAACATCATTCTCTATGCCAACAAACTGAACAACCTAGAAGAAATAAATTCCTAGAAATATATAACCTATCAAGACTGCATTGTGAAGAAACAGAAATTCTGAACAGGCAGATGACTACTTAGAAGACTGAATCAGTCATCGAAAACCTCCCAACACTCAAAAGTCCGGGACCAGGTGGCTTCAGAGGGAATGCTACCGAACATGTAAAGAAGAACGGACACCAAACCCTTCATGAACTCTTCCAAAATTACAAAAGAGGAGGGAACACTTCCAAACTCATTTTACAAAGTCAGTGTTACCCTGATACCAAATCCAGACATGCAGACAAGGGCACCACAAGAAAATTATGAACACTGATGAAAAAAAAAATCCTTAACAAAATTATTAGCACCAAATTTGAAAATGTATTAAAAGGATCACACACCATGATCAAGTGGGATTTATTCCAGGGACACAAAAGATGTTTCAACGTCTGCAGATTGCTCAGCATGATGTGCCACATTAACACAATAAAGGATAAAAATCATATGATCACCTTAATAATGCAGGAAAAAGCATTTGACAAAATTCAACATCCTTTTTGATACAAAGTGGGTGTAGAGAGAACATACCTCAACACAATAAAGGCCATATATGGCAAGGCCACTGCCAACATCATACTCAATGGGGAAAAACAGAAAGCTTTTCATCTAAGATCAGGAACAAGACAAAGGTGTCTATTCTCGCCACTACTACTCAAAACAGTATTAAAAGTTCTAGCCTGAGCAATTTGGCAAGAAAAAGAAACAAAAGCCATCTAAACTGGAAAGAAGTAAAACTGTCACTACATGCAGATGACATATTATATATAGAAAATCCTAAAGACTCCACCAAAATGCTGCTAGAAGTACTATTCAGGAATGTCGCCAGATACGAACTCAATATACAAAAATCTCTTGCATTTCTATATACTAATAATGCATACCAGAAAGAGAAATTAAGAAAACAATCATATTTACTTATTTACGATTGCATTAAAAAGAATAAAAATACCTGCAAATAAATTTAGCCAAAGATGTAAAAAACTTGTATAAAGCAAGATTTTAATGAAACTAATTAAGGAAGACACAAATAAATGGAAAGACATTCCATGCTCATGGACTGGAGGAGTCAATATGGTTGAAATGTCCATTCTACCCAAAGTAATTTACAGATTCAACACAATCCCTATCAAAATTGTGACGGCATTTTTCAGCAGTAGAGCAAACAACCCTGAAACTCCTGTGGAACCATAAAGGACCTTGGATCACCAAAGCAATCTTCGGGCAATCCGGAGGCATCGCGCTTCCTGACCCCGCACTGTAATGCAGTGTTACAATAACCTCCACACTAGCAAGTCCAGAATCCCCAGCCAGAGCCTAGCTCTCCTCTGGGCTCTGTACTCGGGTATCCAAATGCTACTGCAGAGATCCACTTGGGAGTTTCCCCCAGGCACCGTCAGCATAAACTCAAGTCACCGACGGCCCCTTAAGCTTGTTTTCCACCGTACTTCCCATACCTCAGCATACGGCATCTGTATCTCCTGGTCACCCACACTAGAAACCTACACATCTGGCAGGACCATTCCTTCCCGCACTCCCCTCCATCCTCACCGCCACTACCACAGCCTACCACGCCCACACTGGACAACTCCAACTGATTCCTTGCTAAGTGGTCGTTCCGTGGCCTACCCTATACCCACTTCCTTCTAAAAACCCCTTTCCTTAGGATCAAGTCCAAACCCCTGACCATGGCTTTGTACGCCCTTCAAGAACTGACCATTGGAGTCGCCACACATCAGCGGCCCACAAACGAAGTTCCGGCCTTTCTCTGAGTTCTTCAGAAACACTGTGTCTCAAACTTTGCCTAGCCCATTGTTTTTGACTAAATCATACTCAGTTTTCTACTTCCCACTCTCAGCCTTCAACTTGGAAAGCTCCCGTCTCCGGGAGGCGGTCTGTATACCCAAGTCAGGGGTGGGGTCCCTGTCAAATGCTCTGTCAGCATATAGCACAGCTTTGGTCTTGCTGCATCGCCTGTAACTATCTTCTAGTTTGATTCACACTTGATTATAAGCTTCCTTGGGCAGGGCTGAGCCCCGTTTGCCTACATAAGCCAATAGGTAGCTCAGGAGTATTTCTGAATGAATGAAAATGTAAAAGCAAATATTGGGGTAAACTGGAAGTGCCTGTAGCGCCCCCCGCCATCTGCAATACAACATCTTAGTATGTTTTTATTGCATAGAGCAGTTCATATATTGAAGTTTCTTTTCTTATATAATTAGGACACTGGTGATAGCCAAATATCTGGTGTATTGGGTGATTTCGTTTAAAATAATGTCAACTCTCTGTCCAGGCTTCCATATTTGCGGGAACCCGTCTCCCAGCTGGTCTTCTCCTTGAAGTTCTCAGAGATCTTTTCAAAACGTAAATAAGGTACAGTGACTTCTCGCAGGTCCTTGCAGGCCCTGCAAGATCTGCAGGCTGTCCCACACCCCCAACCTCATTACCAAGCATTCTCCCCGCTTACTCACTCTGCTGGACCAGCTGGCCTTTCTTGCAGTTCCTATCAACAGCAAAGGTTATTCCAGCGTCAGAGGCTTTGCGCTTTGGTTCTCTCCGCCTGCAAAATTCTTCCCCCCAGATCTTGGCGTGGCCGGATCCTCCACATTCAGATCGCTGCGGAAACGTCGCTTCCTCAAAGAGCTTTCCCGGACTACCTGTCTAAAATAGCCATCACGTCCCAGACACACTCGATGCCATTATCCTGCTGGATTTCCTTTACATAATATATCCGAATGTTAATTTTGTGTTTTTCTGTCTCCCCTGTTAAAAGTGAAAGCTCCAAGGGCACGAGTATATGCATCTCTTAGTCACCTTTGTTTCTCTGACCGCATGAACAGAGTCCGGCCAGTGAACGGTTGCTTGAATGAATAAATGCACTTAATAAACATGTCCATCCCGTACGTTTTCTGTCTTCTTTCCCCCTTCATCCACAGCAATCCGTGAAGGTCGCTATCCTCATGAGGAAAAGCCCCTGAAGAGTCACCGCCGCTCCAAAGACAGTCTCTCTTCCGCGCTCGGCGAGGTATGCTCTGCCTGGTAGTTAACGGGGCGTAAGGGGCAGAGACGAGCCCAGGACCCGGCGCTCCAGACTGAAAAGCGCCGAGGAGCGGTAGGACAAGGCGCCCCTCTCTTCGCTTCCTGGAACCGCCGCTTCCCCAACCTTAAATCCTTAGGCCAGCCTCTTAGTCGGCCGCAAACACGGCTCCCCGGCCACCGAGCTCAGCGGCCGATCCCCGTTACCTGTCAGAGATCTCATTCAAGGAACCTTGCCATCACACCGCCATTCCAGCGAACACCGGCCCCCTCCAGGCCACCGTAGTTCACGGAAAGTACAAGCTGGCCCCTCCTTCCGCATGCGCAGAGGCCCCATTCGGCGTACAGTGTCTCTTAGCAACCGCTTTGAGTCCCTCCGCTAGGGGCGGGGCATTGGAAGGCGCCGCGGGGAAGCTGAGGGAAAAGTGAGCGAGGCCAATCGGAGACGGGTCCCAGCTTCGATCGGCACGCCTCCTTTAACTGTCGCGAATGAGCGGCAGCTTTACGGCAGGCAAGGGGTGGGGCTGCTAGGGATAAGGAGGAGAGAAGGAAGCAACTAACCAACCAAGTCGCCCCCACTCCCCACCCCCATCCACCCGGACCTGGTTTACGGCTCCGGGCTCGGGCTCTGGCGCGGCCGCTGATTGGCTGCTGAAGGCTTGGTCCCATCCCAGTGACCCCAAAGTGCTGGAGGGAGGGGGCGGGGGTGGCCCAGTGCAAAGTGCATCCAGAAAACCCCCTATCTAGAGCCCCCGAGGCTGGCACTTAGGACCCTGTGCGACCCGGGACCTTGCTGCCCCGAGACCTCCCGCGTTTCCCTCGTAGCCGGGAGCCTCCGGCCCGGAGCGCGGCAGCCCCCTGCTCCGAGCCCTCAGACCGGGACTCTCCGCCCCCCCACCCCCCGCCATCCCCAGCCGGGACTTCCTCCCTGCACCCCTGCCCCGAGGCTGCCCCGCGGCCAGGACCGCCGCCCCGCGTCAGCTCGGCTGTGTGGATGCTCGCCGAGCTGGGGCCGTGAGGCACCGAGGAGGCTCAGGAACACCCGTGTCCGGCCCTGCCTGGGGTGTTTCTTCAATGGAGAAGTTGGTGAGTGTGGAAGAGGCTGAAAGGAGGAAGAGAAGCAGCAGCTGAGGAGACAGGTAAAGTCAGTTACCTTCCCTAAAGGGAAGAGGGCGGCCGGTCGGGAGGGAAATCACTGCATCTCCCTGCTTCCCTTATCACTCCCTTCCTTTGCTCCTCTTCCTCAAAGCCCCCTCCTCCTCGCTCCAGGGGCGCCGCACCTCTCACTGGTTTCTGATTTCCAGGTTCGAGTTGGCTAGGGGAGCCTAGAGGAGCAGGAAGCGGCCTGCCCACCCGCCGAAGTAGCAGAGAGAGCCTCTCACTAGCATCCTCTGTGAAGGTAATAAGCCAGCCCTCCCCTCCCCCATTGTTTGTTTCTGGCCCCTATCTCATTAAGCAGTTCTCTATTTTCAGGGTAGTTAGTTACCTGGGAGTGCAGCTCTTTCCTGGCCTCTGTTTTCCCAGTAAAAACAACAAACCTTGCTCTTGCCCTGCTTCTTAACGTTGTAACAACTTTCCTATCCCCTAAATGTTATTTCCTACCTTTTTCTCTGTCTACTGTTTCCGTGTTTTGCATTCTCTTCTGGTAACTCTACCGTTTACCCTGCTCTGAGACTTGGAGACCTTTTGGTAGCCCTTCCCCTTACTCTCATAGGAATTTCTCAATGCCTTGTTAATTGCTTGTTAATTCGGAATGACTCTGCTTTTTAATTAAACCGCAGTTTTCTGTTTTCCCCTTATTCCTTTCTATCACCTTTCTTCTACTTCCATCGGAAAATCTTTTTGAGAGTTCCCTAACCGACCAGCGTTTGGTAAAGGAAGGTGCAGTAATGGCTTGAAATTTACGTTTCAGAACATAGTGTGACTTTTTCCCTAGGAAAAAGTGAGTCTGTGTCCCTTAATAGGAAGAATCGGGAGGAAGCTATATTCACCCCTGAAGCTCTAGTGTGTAATCAGTTCTTCAGGCTTTTGTGTGTTTGTGTGTGACAGATGTGTATGGGTTCTGCAACTGTTAAAAAGATACATAGTAACTTGCTCCACCGCAGATTTTCTGCAGTTTATGAAACTTTACATAATATCCTGTTAACACTTGACACTCAAGAATTTAAAAGCACAGGAATGTATTGGTGTGTTTGGAATCCAGGGCTTGCTTTTTGCCCTCTTTGTAAAGGAGACTTCTCATTTCAAAGCTCTCACAGGTACTTTGTTAGATTGAAATGGAAGTTTCCCATTCATGTGATCCCGTTTCTGCTGCTGTATTTTGTTGCTGCCTCTGAAAGTGCACTAAATGCACTAAAGGTAGGTTTAGGACATCTGTGTAATTCCCCCAGGAGGGGATGTGATCGGATAAATCATGTAAGAGTTAATTTAGTTCAGAAATTAGCCCAAGTGAATGACTTTTCTAACGTCCAATAACACGCATATAAAGTGACTTGGTAATCTCAGAGTTATTTTAATATCTCAGACTGTTTAGGGAATTTGAGGTACTTAAAATAGCAGGAGTTGTTCGGAAATCTTTGATTTACTCGGTTCCACTGGACTTTGTGCCTTCCACAAAAAGGAAATTAATGGCTTTCTTGATTCTTCTAATTGTCAGGACAGAGCTAAAGGGACTTTTGAGGGTCTCGGAGGGTTTGCATATCCTTGAGACCTGAAACCAGACACCAGAGGCAGACTATTCGCTACACAGTGGGACTTAGAATCCGTTTCTACCAACGATTGTTCTGTGGTGAACATTTAGGGCATCCTTGGTAAGTGCATGTAGGGTACACTTCATGTCAGCGTGAGCTAGGCAAACGCCAGTGCAGTTAAAGGCAGTTTTTGTTATTTCAGTATGAGACTCACCAGGGAGATGCCTAGTGCATAGAACTTTTAAAAAACGCTAAATTATTTGAAGTCTGTTTTGAAGGTAAAGATGAATTCTCTTATTTTCTGTTCAGGCCTTCTCAGTTCAATATTTTTCTGCTTTAGACTTTAGCATGTTTTCACTGCAGAGAAGTGTTATCACCTGGGATGATGGGGGGTGTCTGTGGCGAGTGAAACGTCTAACGTGAAGAGCACACACCTCTTTTTCTCAGCCGGTTCATCCTCATTGCTTACATGAGAGTTTGCTCATCCTCTCAGTTTTTCATTGTTTTTCTAAGATTATGGAATATATAGGGCCCGGCAGAAGTAAGGCCTGCTTGAGTGTGGTTGGTAGGGGAATAATATGGGTGCAATCATACGTAGTTTTAATTTGAACATTTCACCTAGCATGTCCTGCGATGTGCTGACGTGTGATATTGTCATGTTACAGAATGACACGCTTATGATTTTGTAATAAAAAGGGGGTGCTATTGGTACTGGACCCTGTATATAAACTGTCAGCATCTCTTCTTACTATTAGCATGGTCTAGGTTAAGGCAGACGCTTAAAATGTTTAATTCGAGTCCTTATTCCGCAACACAGCCAGTTGTGTGGTTTATTTTTTTCAGCCTGGTACTTAGTTTCGTGTTCATTCCGTGGCTAGCCACAAGGAGAAAGAAAAATCAATCAACACCTGATTTATTTGACAGCCAAATATAAACTTAAAACTGCATAGGGAAAATAACTGATTTTAATTGAAGTTATTCAGTACTGCATCTCGAGTATGCTGTGGCCAGTGCTTACTTTCTTTATACCTAAAGCAGTGCCGTTCATAGTTACTTCATGTTGTGACGCATACACTCTTTATTTTGTTCCCATTCTGCTTTGGTAACAGGGAAGTGCGTACTATCCTTCAAAAGTCTAATCAGATGAAGTTTATCTATGCGCATCTGATACCTGACTTTCAGCCTTTCTTTTTGTTCTCCACTGAAGGCATTCCTTAGTCGAAGTGTCTTCTCCTTTCTTGCAGACTTTCTGGGCTCTGACCTGAGGCTGCTGAGATAGTAATACCGTCAGGGGCTGATAAAACAATACTGATAAGATCTCATTATTTATCATTCTTGTGATTGAAACGTTGACTTGGGTCTGGATGAGTGAATTATAAAACCGCCTCTTTTGCCTCATCCACATTTCATGGGCATTAGTGGTGGTTCTCCTGGAACTTGTGGGTTATATAGATCAGTTGCGCATGGTAGTAAACGCTGGTGTTACATGGAGGCCCAGTAACTGGGAGGAAACAAGGATATCCTCACTTGTTTTGAATGTGAACAGTATGCTATGCTAAGAGATCCTAACGACACACCCCTACCTTACCTGGGGTCCAGACTCGTGATCACATAAGTAGAACTTCTTCTCAGCCTTGTCTTCTACTTCGGGCCTTGCAGTGTGTCTGCGTCCACCTTCCCTGTTAGGACCGAGAGCCACTGGTGAGTTGGTTTTTTCCTTCCTCAGAACCAATATCCTTGAAGTTGCTCATTTGATTTCCTTACCAGCCTGTATCTCGATTTACTCTGCAAAGAAATGCTTATTTCTTTCTTTCTTTTTTTTTTTTGAGTAGCAAGCTGTTACCCTGTTTCTAGCTTGTGTGAAATCTGAAAGCACACTTCTAATTTGTGTCCCTTAATCAAAAAATGTGTGAGTTTCAGTGAAAATAACATGCAAAAAGCCATTAATGACTAATCATGCGAAAGGGAATTGGGGACATGTGGGCAAATTTGGTGAAAGTTATGTAATTGTAGACAGGTCTTAAATACATTTTGTCTGGTGTGGCTCAGTGGATTAAATATATTTTGTTTTACAGTTACTCTTCACTCCATTCTGTGGATATAGACTTTTAAAAATTATGCAAAGCAAGCTTTGGTGTTAACCTCATGAAAGTTACTTGGCATCTATATGGAAATTAAATTGGTAACATTTATTCCAAAATGTTTAGTTTCTCATATGGTCAACAGTATAAACGCTTAGAGGCCTGTATTATTCTCTTTGGACCCCATGCAGAGTAGAAAAAAGTGAATTCGTAAAATGTAAACGTAGCATTAACACAGGGCAACAAAATCTTATGTAAAAAGGAGCTACGGTGAGGAAGTGTGGCTCATTGAGCATATAATTCTGAAGTCTTCCTTGTTAGTATGGTTTTCCTCTCTTTTTTTCCTAACTGTGAAACCTGAAATGGGATTTCTAAAGATTGCGCCCTCAAAGTTGTAGTCGTTCTGCGTCATTATTAACATAAAACAACGTACCCTGCACGTGCATTTACTTAGAAAGTCACCTCCCATGCCATACTCTTTTCTTCTATAG